CAGTCTGTTCCATGTTTCCATGTCTCTGGTTCTATTTTGCTCATCAGCTTATTTTTTTCATTAGAGTCCACTTACAGTGAGATTATATGGCATTTGTCTTTTACCAACTGGCTTATTTCACCTAGCATAATAGGCTCCAAATCCATCCAGGCTGTTGTGAAAGGTAGGAGTTCTTTCATGCTGCTGAATAGTATTCCATTGTGTAGATGCACCACAGTTTTTTGAGCCTCTCATCTATTCATCTACTGATGGGCACTTGGACTATTTCCAGCACTTGGCTATTGTAAATAGTGCTGCTATGAATATTGGGGTGCATAAGTTCTTTTGAATTGGTGTTTCAGGATTCTTAGGGTATATTCCCAGCAGTGGAATTGCTGGGTCATAAGGCAGTTCCATTTTTAATTTTTTGAGGAAGTGCAATACTGTTTTCCACAGTGGCTGCACCAGTCTGCATTCCCACCAACAGTGCACTAGGGTTCTCTTTTCTCCACATCCTCACCAGCACTTGTTGTTTGTTTTGGGTTGTTGTGTATTCATTTTCTGTGTCCAGATACTTTTTGATTTCCTTCTTGATCTCATTGTTAACCCATTCATTATTTAATAACATGTTATTCAGTCTCCATGTATTTGAATGTTTGAGTTTTTTCCTTGAGGTTGGTTTTGAGTTTCAAGCCATTGTGATTTGAGAAGATGTTTGATATGATTTTAGTTTTCTTGACTTTGTTAGAGCTGTGTTGTGTCCTAACATGTGGTATATCTTTGAAAATGATCCATGTGCATTTTAAAAGAATATATACTTTGCTTCTTTGGGTGAAATGTTCTGTAAGTATCAATTAAGTGCATTTGATCTACAGTCAACACTTAGATGAAGCAGAGGACTGAATTAATGAGCTGGAAGACAAGGTAGAGAAAACACCCAGTCAGAGCAACAAAACAAAAGTTCAGTGCCACTTTATCCTTGTATCTTGGTTTGGAAGATCTATTCATTGTTGACAGCAGGGTGTTAAAATCCCCTGCGAAGACTGTATTGCTGTTGATCTTCTTAAAGTACAAGATGTTCCTTGGGTGCATATATGTTTACAAGAGTTATATGCTTTTGTTGGACCACTACATTAAGTATTATGTAGTGACCTTCTTTGTCTCCTGTTATAGCTTTGTTTTGAAGCCTGTTTTGTTTTATATAAGTATTGCTACCCCCTATTTTTCATGTCCATTTGCTTGGAATATTTTTTTTCCATCCCTTCATTTTCAGCCTATGTAGATCTTTTGTTCTGAGGTGGGTCTCTTACAGACAGCAGATATGCAGATCATATTTTCCTATCCACCCAGCTGCCCTATGCCTTTTGATTGGAGCATTAAATCCATTTACATTTAAGGTTATTATTGATAGATATTTGTTCATTGCCTTTTTTTCCCCTTTGTACCTGTGTTCCTCCCACCCCTCCCTGTCTCTGTCTCATTTCTTCTTCTTCTTAAAGCAGTCCCTATAGCATCTCTTGCAGTGCTGGCTTGGTGGAGATGTACTCTTTTAGCCTTCTTTTGTCTGGGAGGCTCTTTATTTCACCTTCCATTTTAAATTAGAGCCTTGATGGATAGAGTAGTCTTAGTTGCAGGTCTTGCTTTTCATTACTTGGAATATTTCATGCCAGTCCATTCTGACTTGTAATGTGTCTGTTGAGAAATCAGCTGATAGTCTTATCAGACCTCCCTTGTATGTTACTAGCTTTTTATCCCTTGCTGCTTTTAAGATTCTCTCTTTGTCTTTTTTTTTTTTAATTTTAATTATAATGTGTCTTGGGGTGGGCTTCTTTGGGTCCATCTTGATTAGGACCCTCTGTGCTTCCTGAACTTGCATCACTTTCTCTCTCATCAAGTTAGGGTAGTTTTCTGTTATTATTTTTTCAAATAGGTTTTCTATCCCTTGCTTTTTTTCTTCTCCTTCTGATATCCCTATCATACAAATGTTGTTATGTTTCTATTGTTCTGAAGCTCCCTTAAACTATCCTCATCCTTTTTGAGTCACTTTGGTTTTTTTGTTTTGTTTTGTTTTGTTGCTCTGACTGGGTGTTTTCTCTACCTTGTCTTCCAGCTCACTAATTCAGTCCTCTGCTTCATCTAGCCCGTTTTGAATTCCTTCTAGTGTATTCTTCATTTCCAATATTATATTCTGCACTTCCTCTTGGTCTTAGTCATAGTTTCTATGTTCTTTTTCGTGCTGCTGTAGTTCCCACTAAGTTCCTTGTAGTTCTCACTGATTTCCTTGAGCATCATTATTACCATTATTTTGAACTCTATGTCTGATAGAGTGCTTGCCTTGATTTCATTTAGCTCTTTTTCTGGGGATTCCTCCTTTCCTTTCAATTGGAGGTTGTTTCTTTATTTCCCCATTTTAAGTGACTCTTGTTTGTTTCTGTGTCTCAGATTGCTCTGCTTTGATTGCCTGTCTTCACGGGGTGGCCTTAGAAGGAGTTCTGAGAAACTCAGTAGTGCAGTCTCTTTGATCTCCTGATCTGGATGCTCTAGGGATGCCCTTTATTCAGTTTATGTGGGATCTCTTGCTATACTTGGGCTTTGATTATTGATGGCTCATTCATTTGTGGGTTCCTCCCTCTGGCTGACTGACTGAGAGCCACAACCACCACCACATCTTCTATGCTGTTGTATGGGTGCTGGCAGAACAAAGCAAAACTAGACAGAAAACCAAACCCACGACAGCAGAAATAGCCCCCTACCACATCAGCAATATCAACAGCAGATGAGCAAAGATTAGTAAAGGTGAAAAGAGATTAAGGATATTATAAGATAGGGAAAAGAGAACATGAGGTCACTAAAGGAGAGAAAAATGATTTTGAGATGGAGGAGGGAGGAAAAATAATAGAAGTAGGGAATAGAATCAAAGGGAAGAAAGGGAGAAAATAAAATTTAAAATGTGAGTAAAAAAGGGAAAGGCAATGACAAAATGGAGTAATATGTGGGAGGGTAACCTATGAAATTTGAATTTTAAAAAATAGTGAACAAATAGGAATAAAATTGAAGAAAAACAGCAATAACCACAGTAGCCGCATCAAACAAGTAGCAATTTATAGAAGTAGAAAGAAAATAAGAATATTATAAGAAAGGAAAAAAGAATGTGAACTGACTAAAGGAAAGAAAAATGATTTTGAGATGATGGAGGAGAAATAGTAAGAGTAAGCAATAGAAACAAGGCATTGACAGGTAGAAAATAAAATTTAAAACGAAAGTAAGAAAAGACAAGAAGAAGGCAAAATAGAATAAGACAGGAGAAGGGTACAATGTGAGATTTAAAATAAAAATAAAATATAAAAATGTAAAATCTAAATTAAAAGAAAAAATAAAAGACAAAAAATAGTGAATTAGTTGGAATATAATTGAAGAAAAAAAAGAAATGTTAAACAGCTATGCAAGAGGAAAAAATAACACAAATTCTGAAGAACAAGGTGGAATTCATCTCAGCAGTTTGCTGTTTGCCTTCTGTCTTCTTCTGAATCCGCCTCTAGCTTTTTATCAGCTCAAGCTCCAGGAGTGGGTCATCCAACTTCTGGCAGCACCACAGGTTCCGCCTTCATCTGCCTCTGGAGGGGGCTTCTGTTGCAATCAAGAGCGTGGGACCCCCAGTTCTCCCCTGGGAGGCACTGTTCAGTCTTCTGGGAAAATTGTGGGTGTGTTCCCCTACCCCTGCACCACCCTTTTTGGGTGGTGTGTCCCAGCTTACTTCCAATAATGTGTAGTTTCTGATGAACTGGCTGTCTGTTCCATGGGAGGGGCCAGCCTGTGTAAGAGGGTCAGCTCTTCCCTGCGCGGGGCTGAGGGCAGCGCTGTGTGCGAGCAGAGGCTGGGCGGTGCCCTCATTCCCCCTTGCTGCACCAATTTCGGATCTCCCTGCCTTGCTGGCCTCAGTGGGATAGGACCCTAGGGGCCAGTGTACTTTGTCTCCCTGAGAGAAGTACCTAGAATGTTTTGGTTTTATGTGCAGAAAAAAAATACAGCACTGTTTCCATTTTGAAGAAAGTCAATAAGTTGCAATAGCTTTGCTGCCTGCAGTGGTTTTTCCCATTCCCCTGAATGGCTCTACTGTCCTCCTCTGTTTGCTCATCTGCTCCATTTCTAATTCCTCTGAATACATATATTGCCCTGTAATTTTTTTCTTATGCAAAATTCGGTTTCACTTCAGTTTCATGTTTTTCTCATGCAGAGTGGCTTAATTCTCAACTTCTCTTTGTCTCCAAATATTCCTCCCCTCCCCTCAAATATCTGCCAAATCTTATTCATTACACTTCAAACGTGGCTCGCAGAGCAGCCTTATCTCCAGATCCTCATCCTGCCCATGTCCACCTGAGCTGTCCGTATTTCTTCCCCGGGTCTGTGCAGTGTCCCACCGCCGGGCCTCCTTAGGGAAAGCGGACAACTTTATTCCTGAAACTAAACATGACTCTATCATTCCCTTGCATTGAATAACTCAAAAAACTATACGTGAACCCTTTGTGTGGACATGAACAGCCCTTCCCAGTTGGACCCTCCTCTTGTTCTCCCTTCCTCTCTCACAGCCGCTCACCGTCTTCGCATGCCTAGACTAAATGTTCCCCTCATGGTCCGTGCCTTAGCACACTCTCCCTTCTCCCTGTGCTTTGCGCCCTTCCAGCAGCTTTTCCAGCACCCACTTCCGATACTATTTCCTCTGGGCAGCCTCTTCGGATTCCTCTAGGGAGAGCTACAGGGCCTCCTCTTGTGTACATTCTTACTGTATTGTACTGAAATAGTTCGAGCCTCCCACCCCAGCTAAGGCAGGGAGCCACTTATTTTGAACAATTCTATATTCTGGCTCATGGAAGACCCTCAGGTGCTCATTGCACATATGTCAAATCCATTGCCCACTGTGACCTCTGCTTTTCATTTGAGCAACATCTTGTGTTTAATCACTTTTCTGAACTTTCAATACTAAGCAAGAATTCTGATCCTTTCTATGTTCTTTCCTTCCTTAGGCTTCAGATGATGAGTCGTACATCAGTGATGTGAGTGATAATATATCTGAAGACAACACCAGTGTTGCAGACAACATTTCTCGGCAAAGTATGCATCCTTTGAGCTTCCAGGTTGTTCTATCTACATGCCAAATTACAATGCTGGTGTTTCCATGAACAATCACTTTCCCCCATCATTAATTGTTCCTTTTACAGCTGATTGTTCAATAAATTTTTTATTTATATAATCTGTTGAGGTAAATGCTTATGAAAAGTTTTCATTTCTTGCTTAAACCAAAAGTTTGAGTCCTTCTTATTAAAAATATTTCATTTTTAAAATTTGACTTGTTTTATCTCTTTTTTTTTTGCTTCTTCCCCAAACTCATTTTGTGTTTTCTTGAATATTTTAGTGTATTGAACACCCTGTTTAAAAAACCGTACACTAATAGTTTGTACATTTATTAGCAACCTTACTTTGAAATAATTCCATGCGTTCTTGGAGGTATATAATAAAGGCTGAAGGAACGTATCACAATCAGAAGTATTTGAAGGGTAATTTCCCTCCTGGGTTTTATGAAATCAGAGAAGCAAATTATCTTTCACTGTGATTCTCTTCTTTCTCCTGCTTTCAGTCTTGAATGGAGAGCTTACGGGAGGGGCCTTCCGAAATGGACGTCGAACCTGCCTGCCAGCTCCCTGTCCTGACACCAGTAACATTAACCTATGGAATATCTTGAGGAACAACATTGGTAAAGACCTATCTAAAGTCTCTATGCCTGTGGAGCTAAATGAGCCACTCAACACCCTGCAGCATCTCTGTGAGGAAATGGAATACAGTGAGCTTCTGGACAAGGCTTCGGAAACCGACGATCCCTATGAGCGCATGGTAATAAATAAGAGGGCAGTGCTCTGCAGGGATTTGTCAACCCTAGGCCTGGGCTAAGGCAAAATTCATGATGGCACAGTTGGTTTTTGCATAACATTTTTCCTGCATAGGTAAGAGAGGACTGGTCCTTTTGCATAAAGTCCACTAGAAGATGCACACGTTGTGACTTATGCTTGCTTCAGAGTATTTCTGCAGTTAGTATGTAAAGGTATCATCCTTCTTAGAGGTTGGAGACATGCCTAGCCTTGCTTTATTAACTTTTCCAGAAGGCTAAGAGAGCCCATTTGCTCAGGAGCTTAGGTCTGACACCGTAACCTCCTGTTTGTGCTTTGCCCTGGACTCTATTCCACGTGGCTGTTGGAAACTTGACTTGCCTTCAGGAAAGCACCAGCAGCCACAACCCTTCTGTACATGGCACGAAGATTGTATAAATGACATAACCTATAACTGGGTTTTAGAAACTTCAAACTTGTGATTCTCAGCAAATTGAGTGGATAGATGAATGAAAAATACTTGACGTCAATTGCCTGCTGGTTTCCATGAGAGGAGTTTAACCTCATTTTCACTTACCTTTATCCCTCATGAGTTTATGAAGAGTCTCTGCAAATCAAAGAAAATGCAAATACCATTCAGTCAGCAGCCCTCGACAGGGATATGTAAAATCTAGAGGAATAAGGGACAAACAGATCTGGAAGTAGTCTCTCCTATATTATTTTCCTTTCTTAAATGTTTTAACAGGTTCTTATTGCTGCATTTGCAGTTTCAGGATATTGCTCCACCTATTTCAGAGCAGGAAGTAAGCCATTCAACCCTGTCCTTGGGGAGACTTATGAATGCATTAGAGAGGACAAGGGATTCCGCTTTTTCTCAGAGCAGGTAAGTCCCACTGCACTCAGTGAGGCTTCTGTGGAGGTAGCTGGCCAGTTTGATGATGAAAATAGATCCGTAAACCTCTGTTTGGGGTGGGTCATGATACCAGTTAACAAACAACTCAGTTTATCTATGTAATTAATTGCTCTCTGTAAAAATACATGAAGTTCTCTGTGTTTAAACATGAAGTCTTAAAAGTTAAAGATTCAGGAATCTACTTGTACATTTTGAGAATAATTCACTAATAGAGATGGATGAGCTGAATGCTTTTTATTTGGTAGTAGCCAGTATATGTTGTAAAAAAAACTGTTGTTTGTTGAAGTTTGAACACTGATGTCGTTGCTTTCTGTTTTGTCTTTAATTACCAGGTTAGCCACCATCCACCCATTTCTGCCTGTCACTGTGAATCCAAGAATTTTGTGTTTTGGCAAGGTTTGTTTTTCAATTACAACTTAAAAATCCAATGGCGTGTCCTATGAAACAGTTTTTAGTTTCCAAAAGTACATTGTACTCAGTTTACATTTCCACCTTTGGAACTTAGAGAACGTTTGTAATTGGTGCAGAGTTCAGTTTGAGAAATAAGATTTCCTGGTTTAAATAGTAAACCATGTTACCAGGAGGGGATGAGAGTGTTTGCGAAGCAGGCCCTGTGGAGCGGCAGGGCTCCGTGCTGACGGTGCCAGCTCCGGGCTATCACTCCGCCTCATTGTGCCTCCTTGTCTGTATCTATTACATGGAGATTTTACCTTCTGCCTTCTTGCTTCCTGAGGGTGTGCAAATACCTCTTACTCCTGAAAGAAGGCTCTATGGCACATCATCTGTGGTGAAGCCTATTAAATATATAAATATTACAGCAGCCTCTGGTCTTCAACTCATTGAAGGGTTTGGATTGAAGTCTATGTAATTAATGCCCATCATTCAGTCAGAATGTTACAAACTTGCCTAAAATAAAATGTTTCAAAATCCTTTTAGAAAGCATATGTAATATTAAGTATAAATAGTTTCTTTATGTTTGGAAGGGTGCTTCATTTTCTTCTTACATATACTTCCTCAACCTGAAAACACACAGAGAGATAGAGCACTGTAATTGCATTTTATTACAAAATAAGGAAATAAATCATTTCTTGGTCAGAATTTTTGTGGAGGCAACAAACAGTAAGCTCCCTTAGTTCATTAAAATGGGTCCAGGTGGTTCTTACAAATGCATGGGTCAACCTGAGTTTCCACAAGTAAAACATAAATGAGGTGAAGCACTGGGCCCTGGGCCGTATCTGAACCAGTATAACAGCTGTTCATTAAGTTCATCTTACTTCTTCATAATCTTACCTATATGTATTTAGAGATTTTATTTTTGTATTGTTCTCCCAAATAAATGTGTATATAAATCCATACTGCCATTATCGTTGCTGTACAACTCATTTTTATATAAATATATGTGTGTATACATATAAATTATTTTCACTATCTAGTTAAAATTTATAACATTTATCTAGACATTAAAGCATAGTGAAGTATACAGGGGTTGGCAAAGTAGGTTAAATTACCAGCTATCATTGCCTAAAAGATAAATAATAAGTAAGGCTATGAAATAATAACAATAAGAAGACAAATAATATAAATAAATAATACAAGATTAAACTGTGTTTTGCATACTCACAGCTGTGAACCTACTTTTCCCCACACCTGTATGTGTATGTGAATAGGCACACACATATCACTCCAGGCTTCTCCCCAGTTTTATCAGTTGAAAACAAGACATACTACAGAGAAACATAGAGAGTAGCTTTCTTTTTTGGTTCACAGTTTATCTTTTCACTTTGGGCCATCCTAGGAACCTGTCATGTTAAATCAGCAATATTGAATCAGTTATAATTACAAAAGTCTTTGTCAAATGTAAAGCATAATATGAGAGTCAATTTTTATAGAAGAAATCAATAGATATGGAGTACATGTTTCTTATCCTCTGCCTATGTCATTTAGATATCAGATGGAAAAACAAGTTCTGGGGGAAGTCGATGGAAATCCTGCCTGTGGGAACACTGAATGTCATGCTTCCAAAGTAGGTTTCTCTCTTCATCCTCAGTCTTTTAACTGCTTTGCAAAATCAGAAATGGGTATTTGAAACTCTGACAGGGGTGTCCAACCTTTCGGCATCTCTGTAAGAAGAATTGTCTGGGCCACACATTAAATACACACTAACAAAAACCAATGAGCAAAAAAAAAAAAAAAAAAAAAAAAAAAGGTTTTAAGTAAATTTACGGTGTTGTGTTGGGCCGCATTCCCAGCCATCGGAGGCCACAGGCAGCCCACGGGCTGTGGGCTGGACACCCGTGCTAGAACATACCAAGGGTCTGTTCCCCCGTATGGCCAAAGCATCTGTCAGCTTTACCAAAACGCTGAGAATGTTCTCCACAAAGCAAATGAGAACTTTAGGATATGCATTAAAACTTACTATTTATCTGTTCACATCCTCCATTCATTAGCCAACACCAGGCACCTACCTGTCCCAGTCACTGTGTTAGTTTGCATTTTATATGACAGATTCTCTTTTTTACCCATTTTTCCATACAGTTTATAATTTCACTTTAAGTTCATCTGAGACCCAGGGACTATTTTTAACTTCCAAGTTATTTTATTAAGGAAGAGTGGTGGAACCCTGTTGCAGCTGTTTTCAAATTAATTGAGGCCAAAGGTTTGATTGGTTTTGTTTCTGTCTTCCTTTGGTGTGGTTTGGTTTTTGTCTATTTGAATGACAGAATTTGCCAATGGGTCAGATTTGGAGGAAGGTGGGGAGGGAGAGGAATTCCTGAGACCACAAAATAAACTTTCAATATTTGCAGACTCTTAAGGAAGAAAGAATTTTCCCAGTGGTGTATATAGTGCCTACATCATTAGCAATTCATAATTTTTTTTAGAAACTAAGAAGCATTTTTTTTATTTTGAAGAAACATTTTATTTGAAAATAGACATAACATGTAAATGTGATTTAAAACTATGCCATCGCATTCCTTGGCAGAAATTCTATAACCTCACTCCCTGGAATTTGCATTACATATGTACCACCTTAGTTATGCACATCAGTCTTTTCCCAAAGAATTATTCACAACTTTGCTGTTAAATTAGAAAATGAAACAGCCCAGGCCAGTGTGGCTCAGTTGGTTGGAGCATCGTCCTATAACCGAGAGGTTGCAGGTTTGATTTCCTGTCAGGGCACATACCTAGGTTGCAGGTTCGATCCCTGGTCTGGGTGCATACGGACAGGCAACCAATCGATGCTTCTCTCTTTCTTCCTCTTTCTCTAAAAGCAATGAAAAAAAAAAAAGTCCTTGGATGAGGATTTAAAAAAAGAAGAAGAAAATGAAACAATGTCCTCAGAGGAATCCTTCTTAAATGCCCTGGCTGCCTCTCTGTTCCCCGGGATCCTCCCACAACGGCCCCTTGCCTACAGGGGGAATCCAGATTCATTGGTGTGTCCTGGGCTTCCCCCTGTGCCCCATCATGCCTTTCTGCCTTGCCTCCTGCCGCCTGGAACACACCACTCCCGGGTCCCCAGATGTGCTGCGCTCTTTTGGCTTCTGGGGCTTTTCCCCAGCCTCCCCTAGCAGGTCTTTCAGGGCTCTCAACCCACATTGCAGGCAAATCTGAGGACTAAGGGCTCCCTCTTCTGTGTTCTCATGATGCTTCCTCATCCTATCTTAGTGTAGGTATTTGTTGCCAACTCCATCAACCCCTATCATTCTGTTGGCTCCAGGAGAGCAAGACTTTGTAGCTTTAGCACCTGGCCCATAAAAAGCACTGGCTCGTTCCTTAAATTACTAAATCCAGTCAAAAAATGTCCTTGAGCACATAGAAACTTTCAACAAAAAAATGAGAGGAAAATGAGGGGAAAGGAAGCATTGGCCAAAGAATATTCTCCTTAGTAGAAGTAGTAATATATATATGTGTGTGACTTTCATTGTTTTTAATCAGTGTTGCATTCTTTCCTAGGTATGGCGATTGCTATGTGTGGAATAAAGTCACCACGTGCATACACAACATTCTCAGTGGGAGGAGGTGGATAGAGCATTATGGAGAAGTAACCATAAGAAACACCAAAAGCAGTGTGTGCATTTGCAAGCTCACATTTGTCAAGGTAAATAATATCTTACAACAGTAAAGAAAAATAAAATAATATGCTTCCTCTGAGGAAGAAATAAAACAATTACCTTAAATAGCCTCAAGTAAGTCTATCCCGTATCCCTGATACCTAAGAACATATTAGGTAGGAAAGCAGAACCAGCTGATTGCGTTACTAAAGGCATGGAGACTTCTGAATACGTGGAAGTCAAGAAAGGCACCATCTCAAAACAGAAAAGAAGAATTCTTAAAGAATTTCTTTTTTAGCAACCCATCAGTAGCTCATTAAAAACTAGTTCAACAAAAAATTTTGTCAGAAAACACTTCTTTCCTATAGCAAATCTTCTGATTTCTATTTCTGTTTCTATTCTTGCCTATAGCAAGTCTTGTTTATATTCCTATTTCTATTCCCGCTTGATTACAACATAATTCAAGTGATCTATTTTAGGGACCTCATTATAATGCAGTTGTCTTTTTCTGAGGATGCGTGTAAATGATCGCTTCCAGTCACTATAAGCCTACCCAACTCTGCCACTATTATAATCCAAATAAATTCAAGAAGAACCTTTACCTTTATCAACAAGAAAAGGTGTCTGGGACAGAAGTGCCTGCAGAGGACCGTTATCCCTAGAGTCCCTGTTCGGCTGTGGGGCGCACAGGGTCACCGCCATGTGTGTTGAGGGGCGCCGCAGAATTCGGGGTCCAGCAATCCCACCCTCCCTCTTCACCTCCTCTCGTCCTGATCTCACTCTAATGTGGTAGAAACAAGTGACATAATTGGAATCTTAATACTCAAAATTTCCTCTCCTGGTCATGTTCATTTTAATTGAACATTTTTTTTTTTTTTTAGCTCACAGTGTTTTTCTTTTTCAAATAGATTCATTAGGTGGCTTAGAACTAAAGAGCCAGGATCGTTATTTGCTCTGACTGAATAGTGCTAGTGAGTGTATGCATTTAGTTTCATAGGCTACAGGAAACTTTGATTAAAGTCAGCCCCTGATATATGCAGAACTCAGGGCAAGAGTCCAAATGAAAGTTCCTATTTTTTCACGTTGACAGACAACTACCTCTTACATCATAGCCTGCAAGGCCAGGTCGGACATCCCGGAACTCTGGAACCCGGGCAGCGCAGGGGAGCCTGTCCTGGCCCGCGCCTTCCCCACTGGCTGCCCACCGGCAGCTCTGCCCTGCCCTGCCCTGCCCTACGAGGGACCTCCGCACATGGAGGCCGTCCAGCCCCACTTCCCAGCTCTGCCCCCACCCCCTCTGCCCTTCTGTGAATGAATCCAAAGAAAAGGCTTGGGCAGGCTGTGAAATAAGCTTAGAGCCACATGGACAAGACATTGTAGGGCCCTACATGTCAGGGCCTGGTCTAGAATGGGGGCTATGGGATCCAGTTGGGTGAATTCCCACAGACTTCTCATGTTTTGGGGAAGAGTGTGGCTGGAAGAAGGCACAGGCAGGGGCCGCATGATAAAATTTAGCAATCTACAGGGACCGCGAAACATTTCACAAACTACTTCCATAGCATTGCCAGCTGAAAATTACTAAAAATCCATAAGAAAAAGGAAAATTCAAGACAGAAGGATCTTAGGAAGACATTACTGACCTATAAATTAATTTTCAATCGGGGTAGAAATGAAGCCTTTTCTGCATCAGGCTCCCATGTGATTGCATGGAGAAGAGCTCCTCCTTTTCTTCAACGCTAAGAAACCCACCCTTCCATACAAAACATTATGAGATAGAGTTCTGGAAACAGTTTGAATAAGGAACTTCGTAAGAAAATTTTCCATATGGAAATCATAGGGATTGGTGTTATTTAAGAGACCAGGTGTCTAACCTGAGGTTTTGCTTTTCCAGGTGAATTACTGGAATTCTAATGTGAATGAAGTCCAGGGCGTTGTGATGGATCAGGAGGGAAAGGTGGTGCACCGGCTCTTTGGGAAGTGGCACGAAGGGCTCTACTGCGGCGTGGCCCCTTCTGCCAAGTGCATCTGGAGACCAGGTGAGACCCGCATGAGCGTCCCGCATCAGGAGGCCGCCGTGCATGAACTGGCAGAGGGAGGCAATGCCATATCATCCCACGTAGCCCACCTTGTGTTTTCTTTAATAATGATATGAGAAGCCTAGAGGCTAAGGCAGTTGTAGTTATAGTTATACTTAACACCTAAATTATATGGCCCAATATTTGATAATGAGTTATAAAATTTAGGCCCAATCTCACCAGCAGGCTTGATGTAAAATCACTCTAAGGGCCTGGTTTTCAATGCCTATATTTCAATAGCTAGGTGTACTTACCAAAAGTGTAGTTAATTGAAATACACAAACCCAAATCCTTACTCATGTTATTTATTCTGTTTTAATAAAACAAAGGAAAGCCTATAAACACCTATAATCCACAAATTCAATAACTTACCAGAGTTAAGTGATCTTTTCACTTGAGCAGCGAAAAGCTGTAATTTGTTGACATTTCATAAAACACATCAAGGGAATTCTGGTGATACACTAGCATGTAATTGAATGTCAAGTATAAAGAGAACAAGTCTCCATACGACATTTATTTTCATTGGAATTTTGTCAGTTAGGCCCTAACTTTAAAATCAGTTGTTAGTTGAAGGGACCTCAACGTGCATTTAAGTTTCCTGCTGGTAGAGTGGGTAGTTCATTCCGCAGTTATTTATGAGGGCTGACTATGCATCAGACTTTGCTCTGGGAGCTTGAAATACATCAAAGAGCAAAGCATGCAAAGATCCTGCCTTGGTGTTGAGTTTAAAATGGTCAATAAATAGTAATTTAGATCTGCATCTTTTTCTTTTCTAAAAATAAGTGTTTCTGGTGAAATCTTAATGTTCATAGCTAACCACCCTGTCATTTAGTTACCTAAGTGAGTATTTGAGAGAAAAATTATGGTGTAGTTTAGCCAGCAAAAACTATTCTATGTACAAAGTTTTATTTTAAAGGCTAGATTTTATTAAATAAATGAATCTCTCAGTTCTGATCATCAACATAAAGTTTCCCACCTAGCAAAATAAAAACAATTTAAGCTACTTGGAAAAAAATATCATCTAATGTTTGTGATTACAAATTTGCTAATAGTCTGGGCATTAATTAAACACCAGGGTTAAGTCAGCTTCTGCACGTGTTTCAAACCTCTTTGCCTCTCACGATGGTTTCTTGGCCTCATTCCAGGTTCCTTGCCCACCAACTATGAGCTCTACTATGGCTTCACAAGGTTTGCCATTGAGCTCAATGAGTTAGATCCTGTACTAAAAGATCTCCTCCCACCAACAGATGCCCGATTCCGGCCAGATCAGAGGTGAGCGTAGCAGTGGTATTTGAAGTGGATACTAGATTATGGCAAATCACTACACGTGTCATCGAGACTTATTTTCACCACCATTTATTTATTTGTTTGTTTATGTGTTTATTTCTGTGTTTATGTATGTATTTATTGAATCATACATCCATTGTTTTATTTACTCAGAAACATTTGTGTTTTACCCTGTGTAAAACAGTGTTCATAGGATGGTTATAAGAGAAGACTAGTTCAACAAAAAATTTTCTCACAGAAGATAACACAGATGTGCCTTTTTAAAAAAGTTTCCTCCCTTATCCCTAAATTTACTAAAAGTCTGCCAATTCATGAACTCTCAACTAAATACAGAATCACTCCTTACCCACTGTTTGTACCTTTTTACTTCGTTTACTCTGAAGCATGGAGTATCATTTGAAACTGAACAATGGGATAGTAAGTTACAGAGACACCTAGAAAGGCTTTTAGTCAAAGACTGGAGTTTGCCCCATGGTTTTGATACCACAGGGTGTGGGATGTGCTCAAAATACAGTACCCTTCATACCTTCTGATTCTTACTTTTTATTATTTTTACGTAGTTCTGTACTCATGTTGCCCATTCCTACAGAATTAATTTTACTTTTTCCAAAACCTTTATATGCAGTACAAATTCCATCCAAAACCTTCTTCTGCTTCCAGTGTATTTATGGCTTTATCCGTCTCTTGCCAAAATGGTCCCAGTATTGGATGTTCTGCTATCCAGTTCTCTTAGATTCCCTCTCTCTCTCTCTCTCTCTCTCTAGAACACGCAGTCTCACTGTTTTGACATTCACATGAATCAGTAAGCTTCCTGTACAATGTGTATCATATTGTATTCCTGTTCTTTGCTCTCTTTTTGAAACTGAAATATTTGCAAAACAAATGCCCATTGGGTCTGCTTTTCCTTGCTCAATTCTATTTCCTTATTTCCTCTCTGAATTCTCTTTATGATTCATTTCCTTTCTGTGGCCTTTTGTAATTGTACCCAGCTGTTACTTTTTTTATTTTTTTTATCAATTTTTCTCTCTCCAATAAAACACGGAAACTCTTTCCTTCTTAATCTGTTCTAAAAGGAGATGGAGAACGGCCAGTTACCATCCTCCCTTCTGTGGCCTTTAACAAGTGCTTTTTGATAATATGGAAAAGGAGCACAGCCTGGGACTTCATGCTGTTCTAACCCTGGGCTCTTGAGTCGTCCCGAAGACACCAAGTTGTAGAGCCCTAGACAGCACAGCGAGGGGGGGAAGGAGTGGGTGGAGGTGGAAGAGGCTATGGGGGAAGAAGTGGGGACGGAAAACAAATAAATTATAAAGAAAGAGAAAGAGAGGAAGGAAGGAAGGTCATCCAGGCCCAACCACTCACCTTTCACTTCTACCACTACGGTGCCATGTGCAATAATTCAGTTCACATACACAAAAATGCATTCATCGATGGCAGGCAGAGGGAGGGTGTCCCAGTGAGGGAATATTCTCAGCGTGTTACTGTTCACTACATTATGTTCACAGCAGCCAGAATGTAATTTCACGTAAATGAGATCATTTTTAATCAGAAAAGAGGGTGATATATTAAAAGATTAACTGCTTTCTGCTTAGATTTTTGGAAGAAGGAAACCTAGAAGCTGCAGCAGCAGAGAAGCAAAGAGTAGAGGAACTCCAGAGATCTCGAAGACGATACATGGAAGAAAACAACCTTGAACATATACCAAGATTTTTTAAGTGAGTCCGTTCATTCTCATAGCAAGTTCATGTTTTGCAAATGGTTGCCACAAGCAACGAGATGCCCCTGCTAAAAAGAAAATGAGGGATAGTTTAGTGTCCAGGGAACAGAAAGGTGGAAAAATTAAACAAGATTTCAGTAAATGGTTTTGTTAGTGAAAATATTGATTCAGATTTTGCACTTGTGAAAAGTTCTTGTACGTGTAAAAATGAACTCTTCTCCCCAGCTTGTTTCTTTTCATGAGCAGCAAAAAGGAGTGAGGGTCTTGCCCAAAATGCTCTTTGTCCTTCAGCCCCACCCTTTCAAATGGGGGAAGCTGGTTCCTGCTCCCCGACTCAGAGACGAGTGGCACCCCTCTGCCCACAAGGTCCTCCCAGCTTCGTTAGTCTTTAATTTTATTTCTGGCACCTGTAAGTGGTGTCCATTCAGATTTGGCCCCTGTGTGGTGGGGTAGTGGGTGATTATTACAGGATTATTTGCAAGATTATGTATACATCACACCGATGAAACTGTAGTTTCCAGAGTCAGGACAGATGAGCTCAGAATAACCTCATATCCGTCACAGCTCCCATCTCATGTCTGCCCTGGGGAGGAATGAGACATTGCCCTTTCGATCTCGAAAATGTGCCCTTTGGACACAGGCCCTGCGGTGACTCATAGAGCTGCTGAGGTTGCACACTTTCCCCTGCAAGAGAGGCAGAGACTACGCCTCTCTGTGGGGCTGGGGCCTGAAGCTCCTAGTTACAGTATTTGTACCTGTTTCTTTTGAGGCACTGCACTTTCTAGCTCTACCTGAAGGTGATTGTTTTTCCTACCCTCAGCCCCATTCCTCATGACACTACCCACTTCCATTTCAAAAGTTTAACAACAAAAATGAGTTCAGATGAGTTCTGGTCAAAAATAGGTCACCAATAAGCAGATAGGGCTCTGACTGGCTTACAAAGGGCAGCTTACACGTCTTATCTACAGGAGGGGGTCCAATGATCAGGTCATCTTGATGTGATTTGTGTCTAATGTTGATTTTTCTATTTTCACAGAAAAGTGATTGATGCCAATCAAAGAGAAGCCTGGGTTTCTAATGATACCTACTGGGACCTGCGAAAGGACCCTGGGTTTAGCAAAGTAGACAGCCCTGTTCTTTGGTAACCTGGGAATGTAGAGCTAGCCAACACATCATGCTCTGAATGAATAAATAACTATGCACAATTATGTTTCTTAGAGCTGCGCGTGGTTTCTGGGTCGACTGAACACCGACCATTTGCTTTTCTATTCATCTTTATAATGGACTTTCAGAAGTGCATTAGACAAAGCCCCTGACCACTTTTGGATCCTTTCTGTTTTGCTGCAACCATATTCCTTAAAAAACATCTACACCCTCCTCGAAAAGCAGAATTAAAGGAGCAGAATATAAAATCCAAAGTCTGACAAGCTTATAAAGAAAAACAAACTGTAACTGGTGCTTAAAGCGGATCCAGAAAGTTTAAAGCAACATGACATAAACCACGCGTTTGGTCCTTTTTCCGGAAGCGCCATCCCCTCATCGAAGGAGCTCCTGGGCCACGGCATTCGGTCAGCTCAGACTTCGAGGGTGTCCGTTTGATGTGGTGTACTCGTGCCGGCCTTGTCCACGAAGACATGATGCTTCTCAGAACCTGTTCCATCTGTACGCCATTGTTCATGCCTTAAGAAATGCAAAGATGTACAATAAATCATTTTTTTAATGTGTGCTCATAGGTTTATGTGAAGGACAGATCTATTGAATCATGGCATGATTCACTTACTGGGATCAAAACAATTATGAGTCTAACTTGAATGGATTAAAAAAGCAAACAAAGCGTGCTTTACTTGGATACATGGTCACTGTATCATATATCTGAAGGGCAAGAAGGAAACAGTGTGCTGTGTAGATTTCCGTATTCACACCGCTTGTCCAGTTCCTGTCCTGCGTCCAGATAATAAACCATCCCTCTTCCACCTAACCTCACAGTGTGCCCTATTATTTGTTAATATCTATATTTGATTTGAATACTTGTCATCCGTGTTAAAACCTTGAAAGGAAATAACAAAAAGCAGATGGGCTTTCTGGGTGGGTTTGGGAGTACTGTAAACGTAACTGTTTTTGAGAGAAGCACAATGTAATACCCGTTTCTATCGTCTGCCCCACCCACTGACACCAGTGGAAGTCCCACTGGGAACAGAAGCAAGAATGCTAGTAGCTAGTAGCTTATTTGTGTTGTTTAAATGAGTTCTATGCAAAATCCTATATTATATTTTCATCAAGTGGTTCTGTTACGATACATGACTCTACATTAAGCATTTACCTTGCTATTAGCAAACATATAAAACTTAAGCTAAGAAGTTTATACATTCCAGGAAAAAGCAGGGGAGGCAGGCAGCAATGTGTTTAGCATACTTCAGGATTTGTTTATTCATCCAGTATACAGAGGCTTTTGTAGGTATTGCATTGGTATTCCTGAGTTTCTGCACGTAGATGACTACATAAATAATTGTACATTAGAAAACTCTCCTAGAGGTGAATTATAAAATTCCATATATTTTATTAGTTAGGTTTTTACTCTAGATCGTTACCATGAGGTTTGCAGTGTTATTTTAAACTCTGATTATGAGGTTACTGACGTTTTACATCTTGTTAGGAGGTATTGATTTTAGTGTTATTTCTCCCCAAAGCTTTCCTAATAATGGCTAATAATCCACTGTCAAATCTAAACTGCTCATTAGAGCATAAGGCAAACTGAAGTCTCTACTAAGTGAAGCAGAATTTCAGTTATCCTTGAACTTGTCCCTCCTTTGATCTGGGGCCCTACATTATGCATGCAGGATGCATTGGCTTAGGATGAAATTTCATTCTCAAGTAAATTCCATTGCCAGAGCTAAGCGTTCCGTATAAGCCACACTCCATCTAGGTTTCTCAATGCCTTTTAATTCCCATTTAAATCTACAGGTGGCTTGCCCCGTGGTAGTAAAATTTCTCCCTTGTTATTGATTGTTTTTCTGCTCATTCATCTTGACTCCCTTTTAGCTGCATTAGAATTCTGTTAACTCCTTCATAAAAGCCTGTTCTCCCCAACTGATACAACTTTAAATACCACTTAAAGCAGGTCTGGTCTCTGCTTACTAACACTTCCCTGAACAGTCTCAAAATATTTCACCAAAAGATAAGGAAAAAATTTTGCAAAGTAGAGGTATTCCGAGTAGATGAATAGGAAAGCAAGGCCTCAGTGACCAAGGTCAGTCAGGCAGCTGGGAGAAGACCCCGGATCCATCGGGAAAGCAACTGGTGTTTGGGTTGTAATTGAAAAAAAGAATAGTACAGAGGACTTTCACTAGATAATAAGTTTAAGCTACAAATCATGTAAGTGAATACTGGTCAGAGCTAACCTGAAACTCTGATTAGGAATTTAGGATGAGAATGAGAAGAATGTAAAATTAATTACAATCACATTTTAGAGTATCCCAGATTTAGAATCTTTTGAGATTCAGACTTCATTAGACTTCCAATTCAAGCAGCCAATTAAATTTTAGGCAATTCGCGGACTCCTATAATACCAGATTCACAAATATCCCCTCCAAATTCTCATAGGGTAGTGGCTTCATCCTCCATTTCACTTTTATTTTTGATTGATAGGGTGGCTATAGGGCTGTGAGACTTAATTCTGTTTGGAATTTTCATCTGCAGAAATTTGGAGCTTTTGAAACTAGTTTGAACAGCAAAAGGGTAGAATGAATATTAGATCACTCTTGAGAAAACCTGATTTATTTTTTAGAATGTTGCATAAGTCTTTTTATTTCAGGGGCACTTTTCTTATTTGTTTTTCCCTAAAACAATCTAAGATAGAGGAGGACTTAATATATCTTTATCCCTCCCCCATGATTTATTCATAAGCTCCTTCATCTCTTTAAGCTGGTCATTAAGTAGTAAGTGACAGTTGTCCGGATGTGGCTGGACTGAATAGATCGATGGCTCACACCAGCACAGATAGACACTAATTATTTTGCTTCCATATGCTGCCACCCAGGGTAATTTGCCCTCAGATTTTGCTGTTATTTTATTGTTACTTTAAATTAAGTTGTTATTTTTCATCAGTTGCTTTAAAATACCCTGTAATTTCCAGGCAATTGTAAAAATAAACCTCATTTGAGATACCTTTTAATATTACCTATCAATTATATGTGACATAAAAAACTACCAAATGTATTTTCTAAATAAGAGAAACCAAGGGACTTTTCGATACAAGAAATGCCAAGTCCGTTTTCTAAACCTTTGCTCGTCCTCGTTCTGGCCCCGTGCCTTCCAGCGACTCCACTCGTCCATCATCGGCCCCTGCCCCGAGGAGCCCTGGGGAGCGGGGGTTAAAGAGGAACCTGATGAAACTGTTTTTGCTTAGTTCTGGTTACACCTGGGGCTGGAGAAGAGTTTATAATTAATCTAATGTACATTTTTGTCATTACCTTGTGGACTTTAATTATCCATCTTGTCTAATCTTGTTCTCTGCCATCCTAGATAATAAAGTGTTAATGGGAGCAGAGCTCCTCACACACCAGGGGGTGTAAAAATGTTTGCACTTGGCTCAAATTGGTATATTACGAATGTGGCACAGTAAATAAAAAGTTTGTGTACAAAATATTAGTTTATTTCTATGGGAGCCATTATGTTCAAGATATATAAAATGTATCTAATTAAACAATTATGAATCTATTTTGTGCTCTAGAAATGTTCTTTTGGGGAAAAGGTGGAAAAAAAAGTCATTGGAGCTAAGAATAAAGTGCTTTGTTTTGGGGTTTCTTTTTTTTTGTTTGTTTTGTTTTGTTTGTTTTTAGGTATTTATTTTAAAAACCTTCCCAGTCATTTAGAATTCTGCTTATCAAACTTAGAGCCTCTAAGTTTTAATTTAATTTCCTCTGTAAAATTGATACATTTAAACTGTACATTGTATGAATTATTCTGTTGAACCCGACTTTAATTTTAATACATTATTGTAAGAACATACATTTGTGACTGAATTTTAAGACCTTGTCGCAGCCTTTTCTATTAGAGAAAATGGCAAATTGTTTAAGCAAGGGTTTAATTCTTTGGAAGAATTGTTTAATTCTTCCAAAATGAGATGTAAAGAAGAATGAATTCTTTAAAAATTGCTGTGATGAACCAGAATGCCCAACATCTTAAACAAATGAAGCCCCAATATGAAGGCAGCTTACAGGGGGCAGTTACCTGTCAGTTGAATGCATCCTTCTGTTTTCCAAACGACTTCTGAACTGATTGATTTTCTCCTTTCTTCTGATCCTCACCTAGTGAGGGGCAGGGACACGCATGTCTATTGTTTTGCACTGTGCCGCTGGGTGTTTATAACATATGCAGCAATCATGCACAGCTGCAGGGTGATATATCAATATTGGAACCACTGCATTCAGCCTTCTGTAGAACACTCTTAAATGCTGACAGATTAAAAATTACCCATAACTAGTTATTATAAATTTCCTCATATCTCCAGATGGGTAGGAAAACACATAAAACAAGAATGTCTATATTTTCCACAATTTTTTTTATCACACTTTCTATATACGTATAAATTAGGGCAATTGAGAGGAATATTGAGTGGTCAGAAAACAGATCTAATCCTATTTGAGTTACTTGTTTCTTCTTACTCTTAGTTAATAAGCAACAACTTAATACTGTTAAAGAGAGAATACTAATAAAACTGTTACTTCTTTTATCTTCGGCACCAACTCCCCTTAATTATCCTTATCCAGTTATTTCTTAGGGAAATAATGTAGTTGCTAGAAACCTCTATAGTCATTTCAAGCTTATTTAAAAAGCTTCATTGAAGTGTAACTGACACACAGTAAGCTTTGCATACCTGAACTATATACAATTTGATAGTTTGACATATATACACACTCTTGACATTGTCGCCACCATCACAATAGCGAACTGTTTCGATCGCCACCCAATAACCTCCCCCTTTGTAATTCCTCTCTCCTGCTGCTCTCCAACCTCCACCCCGAGGCAATCATTGCGTTACTTTTTTTCCACTTTTTTTTTCCCTATTAAATGTATTAGGGTGACAGTGGTTAATAAGCTCATAGAGATTTCAAGGGTACTCTTTCACTTTTTAAAATCTGCGTGTTCTGCATTTACCGCACATGAGGTTTTTCCAGAAGGCCGTGTGCATTTGGGTACAGGCACGCCTCCAGGCTCCCCGCTCGCCACCACCCCAATATCCACCATCAAATAGTAGTAGCACGTTACAAGAGAAAGAGGACGTTAGGTTCTAGTTCTGACAGCCCAGTAAAAAGTGTAGATTTGAAATACTTAGAAAATGGTACATCTTTTCATATTGAAATGACCGTGTAAATTAATGAATTCATTCCTATCTTTAGGGGGATCCGAAATAAGAGTAAAACAACTTGCTGGCAGCATTGGGGGAGCCTTGGGAAGTGGTGTTCTCTTGTTTGTGATGAAAACATCGCTGACAAAACCGTGGGAATCCGGAATGAGCGCCCTGGAAATGACGTCACGGTCACCCCCGTGAGGAGGGATGGAACCTATACTGAGTTGTTTACCATTTTCCCAAGCCCTACTTCGGTGTCACACACATTGGAAACTCACAGCGCTCAAGGAGGCTGCTTTCCCACCTCTTTGATGCCCTCACTTCCTGTCTGGAAGCAAAGTTACTAAACCTGGTTTTGAAAAAGAAGTGGAAACAAGGTTCCCAGCGTCCGGGAGCTCCCGCCCCGGCGCAGCGGGGCCGGTTACAAACTTCCTCTTTGTATCCTGCACCCCTCGGAGCCTGTTCCTCAAAAATAGAAAACTTTCCAGAGACTGTCCAATACATCATGACTGACATTACGTGCTAATGAAGAGAAGAGGCAAGAATGAACAAAAGAGAACGAAATCTAGGACAGAGAAGTAGAATCTCTGAGCGGGGCAGGCGGCCTGCTCCTTGGCTGCGTGCGGCTGGATGCCCAGGGCCACGTTTCTGTCTCTGAAGTTCGTTCACAGGCAGGCTGATGCCTCAGCTTCTCTCCAAAGATTCTGAGTCTTTAGACCTAAGGTGTAGGCCAAGAATCGGCGTATTAGGAAGCACCCTGGGCCCCGGGGAGTTTTGAGGCAGATGGGGAGTCTCCACGAGTGCGCGCAGGCTGCACCGCGCGCGCACACCCCGGCCCCCGCTCCAGCCTCCGCCTCCGTTTCTGTTTCCTCGTAGTGAGGTTCAGTCGTCAGTGAGGAAGCCCCTGCAGGAAAACTGCCCGGGGCTCAGGGACTTGTGACTCCCTGGGCCATGCACGGCTTCTGGTCACTTTGTGACTTCTGTCCCGAGGGCAGCTCTGTAATACGGAGGGGAAGGGTAGGGAGGACAGAACTCTGAAACCTAAATAGGAGACTGTGGTAAGCCAGGGACCATGAAGTGTATTCCCGGAGGCATCCTAGCCAGCCCAGACCTTGAGGTCTACCCTTCAAGGCCATGATCAACCTCCCCTGCCCGGCCTTCCGTTCCCTCTTGCACCTGGTCCATGTCTCTGAGAAGGGTTTTCAAATGAGCTGATGGGGCCCTGGCTGGTGGATGCCTGCGAGGCAATGCCGTGGCGAAGCACGTTCTTGATCACTTGACTGATGATTTCCTAACAAGTAGCAAATTCTTTATCCGGGTCACTTTCTTCCCTGAAAATAATATTTTCGAAATTTTTGTTTGAAAAACTGTCACTGTGAAATTACTCTGCTTGTAATTGAAGGTATAAAGGCAAAGGCAGGAGTCACATACTATTAGCGTATGGTCATTTTGAGATAGAAAACTTAAATTTTATCTTATTTTAGGAATAGAATTTCAATCAACTTTCTACTGAAAAATAGCTTGTAGTTAAATTTCCTTATAATAAAAGAAAAATTATTCACAGAAAAAAATTGTGTAACTGTGCCACCTCAAAATAAGAATTGTGCCTCTTCAGTGAATGTTGTATACCGGAGTGTCACATTTGTAAGAGCACAGGGCACTCAATAAATTTTAAATAAACTGTATAAAGAGGTTTTTTTTGTGTGTGTATAGTTTGTTCTAATGGCCTGTCCACAAAATTAATGGTTTTATCTTTAGCAAGAGACTTCAAATAGGATATAAAGGAGACTGAGTACTTATTCTGACTGCATTTCCAGCTGTGTGTATGTGTGGGGGTGTGTGTGTGTGTGTGTGTATGTGTGTGTATAGTAACTATGTAGAAACTGTTTTGAAATCAAATCCTAGAACACAGGACTTTTTCCTAAATTTTAATTTTATATTAAAAGACCTAGAAAGCAGGCTTCAGTTTTCCATTTGCTTAAACTGTGAGAGTAAAGCTGTAGTTCATAAAGACTACAGGAAACTCAAGATTTTTCCAAGAGATGTGTTGTCTGTAACTGGTGAAAGCAGTTCCAATAAAATAATGACAGTATATCCTGTTTTCAGTCTTCACATGCATTGTACATAGCTAACTGATCAGCCTTGGCCTCTAAGACTCTAAT